GGGGAGGGAATGAGCAAGCGGCTGTATGGTGGCCAGTTGCCAGCTGGGGTTAAACCAGGACAGAAGCCAAGCTGAGATATCTTATCTGCTGTGCACATGACAACAGTTCGGTGTACTTGTGGAGTCCTGCGGCATGCAGGTATTTGCAGCCAATTGCACCTGAGAGATTTACAAGTGCTCTTTTTCATTAGCTCAGTGTGAGGTTAGTAGAAATGGCATGTTGATCACATGTGATTAATACTTCAATAAACATATTTTTCTACATACTCACTTAAAACAGTCCAGAAGAAAAGCCTGCAAAGGAAAACTTGTCACTTTCACTGTTTGCTTGTGGGTGGAGGGTGTGTTTTAAATAAAACTTGTTTTGTGGAGAGAGGATTGGCTTTATATGACTGGTGATGTAAGTGAAGTCTCTATTATAAAGCCACAATGCATTTCAGTATTGCTACTGAGGGTGGCAGGGTTGGTTCTTAATTGACCAGCTCCACCTTCCTTGTTGTGATGCTCTGGATTAGGAAAACAGCTCTGTTCCTGCTGCTTTCTGTGCAAGCTGTCACTGGAGGGGGAAATGTGTAAGCTGAGCTCCCTTGCTGAGGGCCCTATATGGTGTGGAAGTTGTTTCAACCTCCACATTAAAAATAATTACAGCAGTCAAATCCATCAATTGGGATGACCACTGATCCCCATCTCAATGCAATGGCATAGCAGCACAGCACCCTGACAGGGGAATGGGTGCAGCTAATAGACCCTGGTGGCCCACTCCCTTTTCCACATAAGGACATAATGAGACAAACTTCTTGCTGACCTCTCTCAGACCTTGACTTTGCGACCCTGCCAGGTTCCTAGCTGTGCAGGTTGTAAGGCAGGAGGCTGTGTAATGAGAAGTGAAGTAGCAGAAGGCTTACCTAAGACCTTGCTATAGTAGATATCCCATTCTCCCCAGTAGCTTTGGAAAATGTAGTCTTGCAGATGGTAAGACACGATGTTTTTTACTCTCTCACCGAAGGACATGTGGTCAGTGAGCTC